GTCTGGGGTCTTAAAGGCTTGAAGGTAAACAAGCGGCCATCTAGCTCAGAAGCCACAAAGCCCACATGGAAGAAGTACACCAGCCTGTATGACCACGGGGTGTCGAAGGGATCAACTATCAGGCATCATCAGAACAAAAAATCATATCATTGTGTATGACTGGGAGTGCGGAGTGGAGACCCAAAGCCAATCTGTAGGCAACTGTACACCCCCTTACGAAAGGGTGCAGGGTAGCAACGATGAAACATACCACTTTCCTCTAGTTCCTAAATGCTTCCTCCTCACTCCCACTATCATGATCCCAATTCTACCTTACAAATCTGGCTAGACCAGAGGATGTACACTGCAGGACCAGTGGAGAGAGTGGTGATACCAGGAGGGTGGAGTGGAAAGGGGGAACCGATTACAAGGATCTACATAAAACCCCCTCCTCCTTGGGGGACGGACAACAGAAAAGTAGGTGAAGGGAGACATCAGACAGTGTAAAATATGATAAAATAATAATTTATAAATGATCAAGGGCTCATGAGGGAGGGGGGGGGATGGAGGGGAAAAATTAGGAGCTGAGGCCAGGGGCTTAAGTGGAGAGCAAGTGTTTTGAGAATGATGACGGCAATGGATATACAAATATGCTTTACACAATTGATGTATATGGATTGTGATGAGTTGTATGAGCCCCTATAAAATGATTTTAAAACACTGTTGGTTTTCATCCTTCTGCATAAATGTCAAGTCTAAAAATCATCAATTTCTTCCAGATTCCAGAAAGGGGGAACAAATACAGTACAGTAGCAATAACAAAGAAAGCTACCAAATTTTGGTTATTAAGAGCAATATTTTGAAGTCGCTGCTTTCTTTTTATCAGAAAGATACCTACCTAAACAACCCTGATTGGGAGGTGAGGGGAAGGAAATCTTATTCAATGTGATGTCTGCCATCAATAAGATTTAATTAATTACAGTCTTAAATGTATTTCCTGAACCCAATTAAGTTCTCAGCTTTGATTTTGCAAGTCACATCAAAACAGCAAAGTACAAGTAGCACATAAAACGATTTTCGTAGAAATGCTTTAATCATTGAATTCTGTGGCTTAAAATGATCATTTACTTAAAAGCTCATATTCCTATTTTGCTTTCAATCACATTCCCAAAGGACAAAAAAGAAAAGAGGAAAGAAAAAGAGACACTGACCTTAATTACTAGAATAGCATTTTCTTTAATAAGTGCAACTCATGCCCAAGTTGGCTGGCAACTCACTGAGGTTATTCTGCATATTTTAAACCATCAATAGTGCACAGCATTTCCCGTCTTTTCGCCAATGGAAACATAAACTCTGAGGGCAGAACAAGCAGCATTGAATTCAGTGGATTACACAGACTGATAACCAGTTCGACTTTTCCTTCTTCCAACCAAGTACGAGAGAAAGACAACAATTATAAGGAAGCCCAAGGCCACACCCACTGCAACAGGGATAAGAAAGTTGAGGTCAGAATCACCAGAACACTCTTCAGCTGTTAGAAAAGAACAGAGCAAGGAAAGGAAATTAGTAAGGAATGCAATTAAGTTAAAACAAGCAAACAAGAAACTAGCATTTTGAAAGTGCACATAGGTTAGTTTTTTTATAACGGCACTCCAATGTTATTTCCTCTATAGCCCCACAAATACAGAAAGGCTCCAAAATAGTACTACGGTTCCATTTTCTATGTCTAATGGTGCTGGGACAGGATCATCCACGCTTCACATGACCGGTACTTCCCCACTCCCATTCTCCCTGGCCACAACTAACACGAAAAGCACATTCAAATCCTGTGTATTAACATTTAAGTAGAAAACCTTCAGCCAAATACATCCCCAGAAGCCTTCTTTCAACCAAACAAGTTTAGCTTCAGTAGTGAAAAACGTCTGCCATCAACACTACTCTGTTAAGACATATTCACTGCTGTCCAGTCCAGGCTGACTCATGGCAACCCTATAGGGCAGGGGAACTGCCCTTGGGAGTTTCTGAGATCTAACTCTTTACAGGGATAGAAAGCCCCATCTTTCTCCCAACAAGCAGCTGGCAGTTTTGAACTGTGGACCCTGCTGTTAGCAGCCCAAGTCATAACTATTATGCCACCCAAGCTCCTTCAAAACTAACTGGGGTAAAACTGGCAGCAACTGAAATGATTAGCGTGGAAGCTTAGGGGACAGTGAGTTTACGTTAATGGAAGAACAACCCTCAAAAGGAGGGGTGGCAGTGGTTGCCCAACTTGAAGAAGGTCCTGAATGTCACTGACTTGTACATGAAAAGGCTGGTGAAATGGTGTACACTTTTGCTGTGCATATTTTCCACAATAGGTTTTTTCTTAAGTGCACAAAAGCAAGGAGGCATCCCTCAGTAGAGATACGAAATGCAAAAATCTCCAGGATAGATTTACTGAGTAAAACAGAAAACTGACAAAATAGGGTATACCATGATTCTTGTTCTTTATTGAAGTTACTGGAGTAGATAGAGGCAGCAGAGGGAGAGCTTCCTGAATGCTGTCACGGATTTTTTAATAATGTCAATATTAAACCACTCAAAGCACAATTTTTTTTTAATTTAAGCAATAAAATCAAAGTGAGACTTAGGGCCAAGAAAATGCAGTATTAAAAGAATGGCTGGTTGGAAACTGATACAGTTCTACTTGATGTGGTTGAATACGGAGTGATGTGTTAGATTATTAAAGCCCAATAAAAAAGAAAATTCAGTATAATTTTCTTTTTCATAGACAGTAGAGAGGTATCAGGTTATTTTTAATGATCCTTAACTGAGTAAAAAAGGGGCCTGGTGAAATAGTGTCATGGTATACCCTGAGCTGCTAACCATGAGGTCACCAGTTAGAACCCACCAGTTGCTCTATAAGAGAAAGATGAAGCTGTCTCCTCTGGTAAAAATTTCAAGTCTCAGAAACCCACAAGGGCAGTTCTACTCTGTCGTGTAGGGTTCCAGTGGGTCAGAACAGATTTGATGGCAGTAAGTTTGGGTTTCTTGAGTTTAACTGAGTAGTGGACTGGAAGAATAGCAGAATCCAATCTGAGTCCATTTCCCCGGACCATAGGGGAGGCAGAGTTTGTAATCTGGATTCAGCCATAAGTGAATATGAATCCTGACTCCTATCATTTTTAGTGAAAGGGTCTTGGTCAAGTTATTTAAACTGGGTCACCCTTTCTTCATCTGTAAAGGAGGTGATAACAATACCCATATTATAAATTATTTGAGAATTAAATGTTTCCAAAGAAGAGGATCTAAATCAGGTTTTAAAAAATCAATTCCATCGAGTCAATTCTGATTCACAGTGGCCCTATGGGCCAGGGTGGAACCACCATGTGGGTTTTGGAGACTGCCACTCTTTATGGGAGAAAACCTCAGGAGCTGCTGGTGGTTTTGAACTGCTGACCTTGCAGGTTAGCAGTCCAACGCCTAACCGTTACACCACCAGGGCTCCTTTCACATATCAGGTGGTCACCAAGTATTCCTTTTCCTTTTCTTCCCATGCTTGTGATTCCATCCAGGGAACTTTCAGGCTTGAAGGTGCAGGCAGTGATCAAAGGGGTATTTCAGTATGTTATTTTTGAATGTGAGCGATGTCCAGTACAGGAATACCTCACTGGCAGTGCAGGCTAAGTTTCAATAGTGCAACAGAGTTCATAGTTTGGTTTCCAGTGCACACATAAGTTATGTTGTGTGCAATGGCATGGTGAGGGTGTTTGAAATATTGTGAGAAAGACCAAAATGGGACCCAGAGACAAAACGACCACACAAAATGGCAGCAGCAGTTGACAGGGTTTCACAAACCTGCCCTTCGTTAACAAGCCAACAAACAAAACACATTATCTTGGGAGCACAATAAAGCAAGGGAGGGAGACCTGCATTGGAAAAAAAACATTTAACCAAAATCCATGTCATGTATTATTTATTGCAAGTAGTTCATGCAGCACCTTATTCTGGTCTCACGAGTTCAAGTTTAAACCAGCAGTTGTTTTATGATTAAGTGGCTGGATTTCACAGGGGAGCAATTTTGACCCTGATGCTAAATGATGGTCCTGCCATCAACCAGATGAGTAACCTCAGTGACGCCACACTGCTTTCTGTCAAATGATGGGGTTAGAGCAAGGGATTTCAAAGGCTTTATCCATGCTGTGTCTATGGCAATTAACATGTGATAATGATGTGACATGATTTATGATGGAGCACTTAGGTACAGTTCCCCTCTATTTTTCATTTGTCTTCCTCCTCTTGCATACTTTTTTAAGTTGCTAAGGTTTTGGATATATATTATGATTTTGAGTGACCATGGCAACCTTTGTTGAAGGGATTTACTCCTCATATTTCATTGCAAGATCCCTCAGATAGAGACTGATAGCAAGGTACCAAGACACTGTACTGTTTGTTAATCGGTAAGTTACAGAAACGATGAACAAGCCAATGTAGACATAAAAGGAATTCATACCAAAATCACTTCAGTGTGACAGTCTTCTCAAGTCTATTGTGTAAGCCCATCCTTCATACAGTCAATACTTGCGCTACACTTATAAGATGAAGTATATTCCAATTGGGGCTAACTATCTAGCTCATTTTAATGTCAGCCGGCTCTCTACAGCCCCATCTATGCTCAGTCCCACGAGGGCTGTAGTGAAGAAGCAAGGGCCTGGTTGTTATGCTTCACTGCCTCCCTTATGAGATTACTGTTAGCTTACATTTCATAAGTAGCAGTCTGATGACAACACTAAATAGATTTCAATTCTCCAGAGATCCACAAGATGAGGTAGAGAAACACAACACAATCTGTCCTAATTAGTTCATATATTTCTGTCTTTCAGTGTTAATCAGGTATTCAAGCAAGAGAGAGGGAGAAAAAAAAGGCAAAAAATGTCAAGTGGTTAAATACACTTGAATTGTATCCGTTCATACTGCTGAAAAATAAAATATTCCCAATTTTACGTATGAAGCCAGTTTAAGAGTTCTTTTGTAGCCTCTTGGGGTTTTTGTTGGTTTGTTTGGCTCATTTTACCTAGGGCTAAATCACAAGCCTCAAATAATATTGACTCATCCTTCCCTTGAACCCAAAGAAACCATCAAAAGTCACAAAATCTATAAAGTGCTGCTGCTGTTCCTGAGGGCATACTTCAACCAGAGGAGAGTTGTAGATTTATGCTACAGCCGTCTTTCTTTAAAAAGCTATATGCAAATGCACAATAATGAGTACTAAACAAAGTTAATTCGTATATACTGAAACAGAACTCTGGCAGGAAAATATTTATTCATTCCAGTAAGAGGCAACTACATGCTGTATTCTTATAATGGCCATATCAATAATATGTGTACGGCATCTTAGGTTAGGATCAAAATTGGACCAAAAGCATTTCCAGTGAAGAGCTTAAAACATTGCACACCAATGTTTTTTTTAATGAACAAATTGGTCTCTGGGACCAGCAAACTCAACACGTGTCATTTGAAGCTGATCAGAGAGAGAGCAGTTTAGTTTTTAAAAGGGATTCCTGCCAAATGCTGAGACTGATTCCAAAACGACAACACATCAGCTTTAACGAACCAAGTGTTTCTTTCAAAACAGAGAGGCAAGTAAACCTTGTTATGTGTGTGTGTTTACATAATCAATTAGATCACAGGTTTTAAAATTGCTCATATCCAGCGTGATGACGCTTGAGACCAATAAAATAAGCCAGCAACACTAGAATAAGTACTCCTGCCAAGGCTGCTCCCACCGCTATGGGCACAAGGAAGTTGTCGTCATCTGCACTGCAGTCTTGAGCTAGATGTGGAGAAAGGACAATTGAGAACAGAAACAGTGGCAACATTCCAATTCTGTACATTTCAAGCAAAAATTGCAGCTCTTCCCAAGGCACAGATATGTCTTTTTTACATGAAGTCATTGGCATTCATTATCTGCAAATGGGATGTTTGTCTCACAAAAGCAATTTTCCAAATGACCAAGTCATACCCTGCTAGGAACCAACAACCAACAACAAAAACCCTGACAACAATCATTTTAGATACAAGATGTATAAAATGAGCACCTAATTCCCAGAAACCGAAATAGAAAGTAAAGAACATATATAATTAGCTTTTCCTTGATGATCAGGCTGTGAGCTCTCAAAGGCAAAAGCGTGAAGTTGTTTTTAAAAAGCAGTGCCTGAAACATGGAAAATTGTGAAGGTCAATATTAAATTACTCAATGATCTTCTATTCAAATCGATGTCAAAATGAAATGCATAGCAATCTAGGGTGGCTGAGTGGCAGAATTAAATAATTTTTTTAAAACCTCTACCTGATGGCATAACTGTTTGCCTCAAGATGCTCAGTCAAATCTGAGACTCGCTCAAGAAAATTAGTGGCTCACATTACGAACTGTGCTGTGTTCAGGGCAACACACAAAGTGCCATGGAAGTGTTCTCAAGGCACACGCAACACAGCTTGGGTATACAAGACACCCTTTAAAAAGGTGACACTTGAAGCTGAGTTGTGAAGGATGGGCAGGAAGTAAACATGCAGATCATGGGAGAAGAGCATTCCAAGCCCAGGAAACAAAGAAGACTCACTGCCATTGAATTGATTCCGACTCATAGTGACCGTGTAGGACAGGGTAGAACTGCCCCTGTGACTTTCCAAGACTGTAAGTCTTTACAGGAGTAGAAAGTCCCGGCTTTGTCCCTGGTGGTTTTGAACTGCAGACCTTTGGGGTTAGTAGCCCAACGTGTACCCACTATACCACCAGGGCTCCTCCGGGGTAAATGAAGCAGTCTGGCACCTGAAGAAACTCTGGATCAAATAATATTCTTGGCTGGACAGGAGGCAGGAAAAGTATAATAAAAATTGCTCACAAAGACAGTGGCTTGTCCTTATCCTGATGAGAAAAGGGCAGTAGGATTTTAAGTAGCATTTTGTTGTTGTTTCTGGAAATCCCTGGGCTATAAACATAGTTGACACACTCAGCTGCTATCCAGGAGGTTGGAAGATCAAGTCTACATACACTTCAGAAGGCCTGGTGATCTACTTGGGAAAGATCAGATCAAAGAAACCCTAGCCTAGAAGGCTAAGATGTTAAACGTAAACTTATCGCTATTTTCCCCTTGTATTCTGACACACACGTCTGTGTGTATGTGTGGTGGCGAGAGGGAGTGGGTCAACATGAATTGGAATTGACGCAAAGGTTGACGGATGGTGGGGTGGTGTTTCAGAAGATTTGGCAGATAGAAAACTAGAGGTAGGAAGTTAGGAGGCATCTCTATTGCTAGAGTCCAAGTCACCAATAATTCAATCATGAACTTTTCTGCGTGAAGTGCAGGTACAAAAGGTGCAGAGTTTAGAGTGGATCAGAATGTGGAATTGACCAAGTGGACGTAGGGGTGTGGTAGGTGATGGTAGAATGATTTCCATCCCCACACTTGATGAGGCTGCCATTTATGCCTCGAAAGAGGAAATTCTGGAGGAAGCATGAGTGCATTTTGGTTGGGGTGCCTGTATCTGAACCTGATTTTTGATGAGCGTTAGTGGTAGTTAAAACCATGTTGTTAAGTGCCAGCAAGTCATCTGTGACTGCTAACTACCCTTTGCATAACTAAATACAACAATGCCTGGTCGGTCCTAACCCAGCCTCCAAGTCCTACCAGGTTTGAGCGCCTTGTTCCAGTCACTGTGTCAATCCAGCTCGCTGAGGGTGTTCTTATTTTTAGATTGCCTTCTCCTTTACCAAGCATGATGCCCACCTCCTGAGACTCATGCTAACATGTCCAAGTACATAAAATGAAGTCTTGTCATCCTTGCTTCTGAGGAGCATTCTGGTTGTACTTCTTCCAAAACAGATGTTTGCTCTTCTAGAATGTTCACTATTCTTCACCAACACCATAATTCAAAAGCATTGAGTCTTCTTTGGTCTTCCTTATACATTCTTCAGCAGCTTTCTCTTGCATACGAGGTGACTGAAAATACCATGGCTTGGGCAAGTGCACCTTAGTGCTCAAGGTACTGTCTGCTTTTTGAACACCTTAAAGCAGTCTTTGGCAGATTTTCCCGGCGCAATACTTTATTGAAAGCCATGGACACAGATATGTCTTAGTGAGGGCAAGTACAACAGAAGGAAGGCCAAAGACAACACCTTGGGAAACACCGATATTTGAGTAGGCAAAAGAGAAAAATCAGGAAAAAAAAGGAAGATAGAAAATGGTGCCACTAATTGGACGTCCCCTCGCAGATGGGCTGTGAGGAGCAGAAAATGCATCAAGGGGGCATTTTCTCACCGATGAAATACACAACACTCCTCTAGTTCTTTAATCCTTCCTCCCCCCCCCCCCCACTATTAAGACCTCAGTCCAATCTTGCAATTCCCGCTAGGCTGGTATACAGACAGTGGCACAGTAGAGATCAATCAATATAGGGAATTCAGGAAAGACAAACCTCAGACACAGTAATGGGAACAAGGATTCCAGAAGGAGAGGGGAAAGAAAGGGGGACGAGTAAGAGTGGGGAGAGGGAGGAATGGATAGCAATGATGGCAGAATAACGCCCTCTCAGGGAAACAGTACCAGGAAAATAGGTGAAGGAATAAGAATGAATGGTACAAGGTATGTATAAATAATAACAACAATACATAATATATTAAGGGTTTGCAGGGGTGACAGGGTGGGAGAGAGGGGGAAAAGGAGCTGATATCAAAGAGCTCAAGTAGAAAGGTAATGTTTAGAAATTGTTGATGCCAATAATTATACATGTCCGATTGAGACAACAGATGTATGGTTTGTAAGAGCTCCCAATAAAATGATTTACTTTTTTTTTTAAATGGTGCCACAGAAGCCAAGTAAGGAAACACTTTCAATGAGTGTAGAATGGAGAGTTAAAAATATTAGAGAAGCTTGAGCAATGTCTATTGGATCGAGTAACACGGAGGATGAGTGTTATGGATCAAAATACTGCAGGTTTAGGAATAGGAAGTGATGAGTAAGATCAAGAACCTGGGGTAGGGAGCGTAACACTTCAACCCAGAGATTTAAAATTATTAAGACAAAAGGAGAAAGCTGGGCAGTAAGTTCCTATAAAGATTACAGTCTTGGAAATACGTTGGGGCCATTCTACTCTACCTTACAGGGTCACCAAGTTGTAAGGGACTCAATGGCAAACAGATTGGGTGTTTTGCTGTAGTTGTAGGGGGTACTAACTAAGAAGAAAACGTATTCCTGGCGTTTAGAGACTTCATGGCTTTAGTTGCCAGTTCAATGATCTTTTCACTTGCTTCCTGATTCTTTCAAAAATTCAGTTCGCGGACTTTACCAAATGTGACTTCAGACTACCTGGTGTGCAGCGTACTCAGCTATTAGGTGGCTTAGATGGCTCAAGTACCATAAAGTACTATGCCTTGGATTTAATACAAGTTGGTTTTAAATGTTTCCACTAGATTAATTTCTTTTTCTGGCAACACATTCAGAGCCCTCTCTTTCCCAAATTGAGTATTTGACCTAGTACTGAAACAACTTTTGTAAATACTGCCAATAAGGCTTTCACATAAGACAGATAGTCCCAGAGTAGAAAAAAAGCAATTCTGCTAATACAAAGACCTTTCTAGATGATGTCACCGACTCAAAATGCTCTCAATTAGTATGTGAAATATTAATAACTGTCAAGCGTACGAATATAATCTTTTACGGTTTTAGGTAATGGAAAGACATCTTGGTGAAACAGTCGTTTTAATAGGTTTGCAGCCTAAAGAAAATCTCATTCTACAAATCCTTGTGACATGCTCTAGCACTAGCTGTGTACTTACGCAAGTAGTGGAACTATTTCTGGAGAAAGGAAATGGTATACTTGGGGAGGAGTTTAATCATCATGATGCAGATCTTTAAAAATAGAAAGTTTCACAGACCCTGAACTGTCAATGGAAAGCTTCAGGTATATTACAAAATACTTTTCATCTAATTTTCTGTTAGAGATTTTTTTCAAATATGATTTTCATTGTGAGAATTTTTTTTTTCCCTCTCGTTCTTCTTTTTTTTTTTTTAACATTTTATTAGGGGCTCATACAACTGTTATCCCAATCCATACACACATCAATTGTGTAAAGCGCATTTGTACATCGCTTCTCAAAACATTTTCTCTCCATTTAAACCCCGTGAGAATATTTTTAAAGTGAGCCACACATTTCAACAAAATATAATACAAAGGCTCCTCTTAAAAAACAATTTTATCTACATTTCCCTTTAGAAGAGGCGGCGTTGAGAATAAATATCTATATTTGCCACCTCCGAGAGTCTTGCCCTGAGATTACATTTAAACCTTCAAAAATATTCCTGAAATCCTCTTTAGTGTGACTAATAAAAATCCCTGCCCTGGGCAGTGTGCTCTTATATGAGTATCTCTAAGGGATCAAATTAACATCCACTCACAGATTAGACAGGTACCTTAGTGGGCAGTGAGGCGATGATAGTGAAGGAGGAACGGCTCACAAAAGGAGGGTGGCAATGGTTGCACAACTCTAAGACTAGTCCGTGTCACTGAATTGTACATGTGGAGACTGGTGAATTGGTTTACGTTTTGCTATGTATATTCTCCACAATAACAAAATAAAAATAACTTAGAAAGGGGAAAAAAAGAATAACCTTTAGACATATCACCTATTTGAAATACATCACATAAATTTGAAAAGCTACCTGAAGTTACTCCCTATCGCATCATACCAGTTCAAAGACAAGAGATGGTCATGATTAGTGCACAAAGTTAGCTCCCAAGATAGAAGATGAAGAGATGCACCCAAGACATTTTAAT